AAACTGCTCAACAATCCCTCTCTTGCAAACAAGAGGCCACCAAAGCAAAGGCAGCTGCCCAAGGCACTCCCAGCTCAAAACAAAATTGTTCTTGGATTTGTAGGGAAGAATGCAAATAGAGAGAACTGAGTCAAAACACCTTAGCTCAAAAACTATGCACCGTAGTTCAGAGCACGTATTTCCATTGAAAACTGAGAAACTTTTTTTTTACTTAACTTGGCTGCTCCCCAAAATCATATGGGTTTTCCAGATCACACGTCAGGATACACTATCATCTTAAGCATTCCAGCCAAATTTCTTTGCCTCCATATGCAAGAGCAGAAAAAAGCACTTTGCCACTTCCACCATTCTCCCTCCTTGTGTGATTGCATTTTTTTCTCGGATCAGCTCTGTGTCTCATACCATACTGCTCCCAACTGGGGAATTAGCACATTATCCTGTGACGAGCAACCGCTTTCTCCTATTTTAGATCTAAACTTGAATACAAATTGGTATGCAATCTCTCTTCACATTATCCAAACTTTCCAAGGTCTCCCTTCCCTGAACTGCTATCTTTGACTTTAGTCTGGAGAGAAAGCTTTTGTACTGTAAAGTGTCATTAAAATATATGGCACTCCATCCAAATACTATTATTAGTAATTACCATGCAACACAGCTGTTTATATAAAATAGATGCAGCATATAACTCATTTTTCCAGATTCTATAGGTCTGTGGTCATGCTAATCTGTTTCACATGAAGGACTCATGCTTTTATTTTTAGATGAGATGAGTTAAGCAAATGTCTATGTTTAGAACACAGAAAAACCAACCAAGGCAGAAAGATACTGGACGTACATACATGAAACTGTAAAGCCTGAAAAAGACTTGGAAAAATTCTGTAACTGAAGTGCTACTGAAATATCCTGTAATTCCTGCTTCACTTTTATGTCTCTATATATAGATACAGATACATATCCCCATTAATGAAATTCAATCCTAAAAGGAGCTGGCAAGCGGTACAACAGTTTTTGACATTAAAATACAGCGCTCTCTTCTACCTCCCTGTAATTTAGAAATGAGATTTAAACTGCATGTAAGTTTTTTCATAATAATGGCATCTTTTCAGATATTTTTGCCACTGCTAAAACTGAACTACAGAACTCCAGATGATAAAATGCTCCTGTGTCTGTCATCTTCAAAATTACAAATGAAAACGTATATTAAAAAAAAATGAACCCAAAATCCAGAAACTTCTGTCCCATTTAGCTCACCTGTTTTAGTCCATGTTTACCATATAAATTTAGATTACATCTACTAACAGGAATCCTTTGTCCCATTTTACATTTATTAAATATCCAGTACCCAAAAGAAAAAGAACTGCAATAAATAATGTCCTTTATTTATCTGTTCTAGAAAAAAGATGGTGAAAGGAACAGAAAAAACCGCACTTTCTACTATAAGCACCTAGGATATCATTAATTTTGGTCCACCAAACTTAAACCCCATTTCTGACATGTATCTTTCTTTTTTTGAGTGAAGGAAATAGGCAAAGTTCTATCTGCTCAAAGGGCCTGAATATACAGCAGTATGATGTATCAATGAATGATACAAGATAAGGCTTTAAGTAGCAGTAACAAAGGAACCAACATTTTCCGTTGAAAGCAAGAATATTTTTTTTAGAATTATGCTGTTTTCTGAAGTGCTGGCACCTGTAGGAAAGAGATTCAAACATAAACATTTAATAATTTTGATATGCCAAAATATTACAAATAATGGAAAGAAGTCTTTTATGGCTTAGTGACATAGCACTCACAGTAGTGCTGTTGACTTACACTTTCCAGGTGTAAGTTCAGCTCTTAATTTCATTCAGCAATCTTAAACCCAGACATCTTTGTATTGAACTGACAAGTCTACCTAAGTTAATCTCATAGAAAAAGGCTCACACTATTGGTGATAGAAAAGGTAATTAAAATTCAAGTCTGAAAAGTTTTACCAAGCCTTTTTTTTCTTTACTCAAGACACATGATTTTATTTCATAAAATTGAATGTGCAAGGCAAAAGTAGTGCTGTGCCAAAGACACAGTATTGGTCGTGACACTCAAAGTATTTTAAAAGCGATTTATATCTCAGTAAAAGTGCAACATCTCTGGTTCCTTCATACCTCTGTTCTCCAAATCTCAATATGCTTTCCCTGATCAATTTGATGATCTCTTAAGAGCCAGAATAAATTAATCCAAAATCACACTGGATTTTTGTCTGGAATCATGCTTCCTGCGGGTATCAGCAGCTGACAAAAGGGGACAATCCCCCGAGACATGCCACAAGGAGGAGCAGTTAATGATGGCTTTTACTATCTTTCTGTTATGTTCGGCCAGTCCTTCAGCCAGGGCTCTCACTTCTCTTTCAGCCCCTGCACAAGAGGGAACAAGGTGGCAGCAGCAGCATAAAACAATTCCAATTTTGCATACGTAGAGGAGTATTCCCCAGTGTGGGCACTGAGGAACACATCTACAAAATTCTCTTGAAAAGGCACATTCATGCACAAGGGGCAGACCAGCAGCACAGCCATAGCACTGGCACAACAGGCAGTGTAAGGAGGTTGCTAAAACTTATTTTACACCCTTTTGAGCAAGGCAGGTTCCATCTGCTGGGGTAGTTCATCAAAACTGCCGTTCCTGTTGCTCTGGTCTGGGCAGCACAATCCCGAATGATGAGACAGAGACTGCAGAGCTGCTCAGAGTTAACAGCAGTAACTGCCAGAGTTCAAGCAGCAGCTTCCAAGGACACCGTTCAGAGGGTACAACAAAGATGTAAGACATGTTTCAAGATCTAGTAAGATGAAAAAGAGGCTTTTGGATTTACAAACAAAGACTTAGACAACTTCCACAATAATAGAAAGGAGATTTGCTTGAAGACAGGTTTTTCCCTGTGGAGGGCTTTGAAGACAATGTAAGTTTCAAGAGAAGAGGATCTTGCACAAACCTCTGGGAGATAATGGGCAAACTAAGCACTACTTGCTAGACTGAATTTTCTAACAACTTTTTTTTTCTGGTAGACACTGACTCACTGAAATACATACCCCATTATTCAGTCTCCTTTTACTAACATTTCTACCAGATACTTCATGAAGAAATAAAATCAGTGACAACTGCACTATGACTTAACCACCCAGATGCCATATCATTACCTGAAAGTCATTTCTTGGAGGATTTAAAAAAAAAGAAAAAAAGGTAAAAAGAAAGAGGCTCCTGTGGTCTGTTTGGAGCCAGAAATCCTGAGTTCAGCTTTGGCAGCAAAGGGCTTTGCAGAGGGCCACATGGGATTACATTTTCAAAAGGATTTAAAAGTTTTAGGAGCACGTCTCATTGTTAGAAGTGATTTAGACTAATGAGCTTAAGCATTGCTAAATATACTGCTTCATGCTCTGTCTTGTCCATTCCAGTGAGGGGTAGGGTTCTCCCACAGCTCCTGAGAGATTTAGATGCAAGGGTTTGAAATACTGGAACCCTGTTTCTACAGCTTTCTGGTGGAGGTGACGCCCTGACCAGGAAAAGCAGGGACACGCGCCGTAGCCCAGCATAAACCATTGACGGAGAGAGACTGTGCTCACAGGCCAATCTCTGAAGTCGAGCAGCACCCCTTCTGCTGCTCAGGGCACAATTATGAAGCAGAGATTAAAGCAAACAGTACCTTCTGTGGCTGCAAACAGATTCAGAGGCCACCTGTCAAAAGTCACAAGCTCCTAAGTGCCTGAGACACTTTTAAAAGCAGGCATAGGTACCCTTGACAGTGGCATGCGGCCCCCCCTATGCCATGTCCCCTTTTCTTGCTCTAGTCTGCAATTTCTTTCTTGTTTTAGTGTGGAGAGTTTTTTTAGAGGAGGCGAGGTAAGGCACACAGAATACTTATCAAAGGAATAAATTTAAAGTTTTTTATTCCATTTGCACTTTTGCAAGAGAAAAATTATTTTTAAAAATGCAGATGTACCACGGTGTATTTGACCTAAATTCTTCAGTGCTCTTCCTACATTTTGTGAGAGACTGGAAATAACTCCTAAATGTGTAAAATTTTGAACATGAAACATGAAAACTGGTAAGCCTATTCACAAGCTGCAGTGTTTACTTTTGAAAATTGGCAGATTTTCTGATGCTTTGTTTTCTATTGACAGTAAGTCACCACACCACAGAAATGGGGGCTTGAAAGGGGAAGACACATTTCATGTCATGTAAGAGTCTGAATTTTTGTGTGGAAGGGTGGGGTAAGTAGAAGTGCAATTGTGGCCTAGTAGTTATATTAGGTAGATGTTTCTGCTAAAATGTTTAGCATTAAAGGAGTTTTTATTTTAAGCTTTCTAGTGCATAATTTAAAAAATGTACATCAGTGTTTTGATGCCCTCTAGCTTTGCTGTCTAGTCTCAGTACCTAGATAAAACCAATAAATTTGGTTGAAACAAACTCCAGACTTCTAAAAAATGCCCTGTATTCCATCATAAATTGAGTATCAAACTGTTATGAATTTGCTGCGCTAGATTGGTTGCTTTTCAAGGATAGCTGAAAAAGGTATATAAAGTCGAAGCCAAGCCATTCAGCCAATGCATGTGGCCCACAAACAGATTTTAGCACCAACTTCTACCTGCTCAGGCTTTTTGTTGGATCAAGGCCTCACTTTTTACCCATCCAAAGCTCCATTTAAGTCAAGAGAAACATTGTCTGAATTAGGGGCTGAGTAAGAAGTGAGTATGGACTCTTCTGGCCAGACATTAGTACCACATGATTTCTTTGCCATTGCAATTCTAACCTACTACGCTATCTGTTGTTTCAAGCTCATCTCACTACAAGTTTCCTAGGAAACAAATTTAGGAGTACACATACATTCATAAGAATGCAGCCTCAGGTAAGCTTGGTTTTGCATGATGGAATAGCACTGCCCCTCAGTTTGCTTACGTTCACCAGTTCTGTTTACTGAAACAGATCCAGAGCTCTGGGGAA